ATGTACATGTATATTGATATTATTGGTATTATTATAAACTCTGTGATACAATCAAAGATAATTAAAGGAAGGCTTTACCCTCCAAAGGACAGTGAAGGAGAGAGGGAGGACTGGAGGGAGGAGGTGGTTACTAATTATAATTTATCTTTATCTCAATATTCTTAACCTTTCCATTATATTCTAGTGCAGGGGATTCCTTTACCTCTTATAATAAGTACTGGAGGCTCTTTCTCTCTCTCCAGGCTCTGTGTTATTCTTCTATTCTATGGAACCTAATAATGACGTCATCAAATTAGTGACGTGTACACCACGCCCCATTAACCAGCCCCACCCTAACCTCCTGCAAACGCAATGGCTACCAAAAGCAGCAGCTCTCCTTCTCTCTTCACTTCTCCATTGACTATTAGTAATGATCCATTAACTGTAGTCTGTAGTATATTTATATATTATGTTTTATAGATCAGCTTATTGATGTACTTGATCTGTTGAAGAAATGTGATTTCCCTCAGACAAGATGCATGGGCGGTTGCAGAAATTTGGTTTGACCTGGGCATCAATAATTAGTGGGTGTGGAGTGGGTGTGGTTCCATACAATTTTGCAAGGAAAATGGACAATACTGATCTATAACTTCATTGAGATGATTTCTTAGCATAAAACAACAAAGAAGCCTGTTGAACTACCACAGTTTACACTGGATGCCCACACCAGAATCATGAATATAATTATTGGTCAAAAAGTCAACCTGGGCATTGCCCCCTAATGCCCAGGCCTGCAACCGCCTATGACAAGATGGCATGAGCTGGGACTGAGACTAGGACTACATAAGGACACACTGAATGTTTTGGAAGCAGTTTTTCCGGATGACAAATCTCACTGTTTGACAGAGTGTCTCTCTAAGTGGTTACGTAGAGCTGATAATGTTGACAATAAAGGTGGAGCTACCTTTGACTCACTGTCAGATGATCTTAAATCCATGAATGAGAATGCTGCAGCTGACATGTTAGATCAAGAGAGTAAGTTAATATCACTGATTGTATTAGTATTGACTGTGTGTATGTGTGTATTCTATAGAACATAATGCTATGATCAGTGGTAATGATATCAAAAGAACCAATGATGTACACAGTACTGCTACTGGTGAGTGTACATACATGTATATACTCAATAAATGATTATTAAGAATGTATCATAATTCATAGATTAATATACCATATACAGTTACAATGAATAATATTAAATAAATGAGTAATATTCTAGTATTCTTATAGGAAATTATAAATTAATTTTTTTCATCAACAATAGGACCAGCTCTTCCACCTGGTACAAACAAGCCATTGATAGGAGGTCCTCCACTCTCTCCTATTGCATTAATGGATATACCAGATGATAGACCAACAGTATCTGAATTAATAGAGTTTCATGAGTTATTGATCAAAGGACAACTGGAGGAGTCTCTACCACTGCTTGATGCTGATACTATAAGAAAGATTAGAAATGCTGCTAGTGCTGATGAAGGATTGTCTCTTCTTATAAAAGCATTTGAAGAACATCCAACACTGCTACATGAAATGAGAGTAGCTACTGGAAAAGTAAAAGGTATATATTTATTACTATAAAAGTTTAAAATAAAAAACATTTAGTTTTATCACAAAAGACACTCAAGAATCTTCCACTAGGACCTACACAACTGACACCACCAGTGCCTAAACTGCGCCAAAAATCACTACCTACATGTACACAATGTGCACAATCACCTCCAGTACAGAATACACAACCACCTCCTGTACCTCCAAGACGTCATAAAAAACCTTCTACAACTGAAACACCACCAACACCAAAATCAAGAAGTAAAACTGGTCCATCATCACAACCACAAGTACTTGTTGCAATACCAGCAGCTCTGCCTTCACCAGAATACATTACAATGAGAGAGATGTTAGCTGATCTAGTCGATCTGTTGGCAGGAAATGCTCCAGTTATTTTACAATTAAATAATCGATTCTTTTCTCTTGCCATCATACCTCAAGATGTACACAATGCTGTTGCTCACCTTAGTCCTACTCCAAATGAAAGAGCTACTCAACTCATCAATTCATTATTAACTATCATACAAACAAATTCTAATCCTAACAGTGTGTTCTCTTCTCTCATTACATCACTACAGAAAGTAGGACTAAGGAACATGGCATCTAAACTAATGGAAAATTTAAGTAAGATACATTATGATAATTATTACAGTGTATTTATTTTTATTTGTAATAGAGATGAAAGGTGGTCATGTTGATCCTAATCTAGAGCAGCAACCATCAGTCAGTAAGGGACCACTTCAACCAGTGGATGTCGCTGCACAATCTCACACACCACAACCAACAATCACTGGATCACAATCATCTACTCCTACTACTGTCATTGAGCTCAGTTCAAAGAGTGAAGTTGCTGCCAATATTGAAAGTCTTCTTTCTCGATTTGCATCTCTTGATTCTAATATAAGACATGAGTTTGAGGACCTGGTGAAAAAGGGTAAAGTGAAGCTTAAAGCTGTAGCTAGGAACGCAGCAGCTTATTTAAGCATTAAAGTATCCAGTTTGAAATATGGCAAAGTTGATAAACTATTTGATTCTCTTCAGCCTCATTATGATTTCTTCAGTTGTGGTGTACTTAAACACTTGACAAACACTTACCTTTCAAAAGTACAAACTGAACTAACTCAATACATTGATAGTGTTGATGATTTCTCAGAATCATCACAATTGAAGCACATACGATCAACAATCAAAGAGAAATTGCCATCATTACCAGCAGCAGCCTCACCAACTACTAGTGATCAAACAAAACCAGTCGTTATTAAGTTGAATGGCAGATGGGATGAAATGACTCTAACAAAATTTAAAAGAGTCCTTCAGTATTACTTTGGGCATAAAGTAACAGATATTTCTACTATAGTGGACATTGTCTTTGGTTCAGTTGTCATTACACTGTTAATACCAACCTCACTATCACAGTCTCTTATTGATGCAATCAATAACAAAACAAACTCAATGAGTAGATTAGGAATATTGGAAGTGGCTGTTGACAATAAACCGATTTCTATCAGAAGAAAAGGTGATAACAATTTTGACATTTCACTCCATCAATCAGTTAAAGCTGGTAATAGTTTTGAAGTATCAATGCTACTGCAGTTAGGAGCTGATCCTAATAGTAAAGATGAGAGAGGAAAGAGTGCAGTAGAAATAGCTAATGAAGGAGGATACACTCAAATAAAAGAAATAATACTAACTGGTGGAGGTGAGTTATTTGATACTAATACTAATACACACATATAATATACCATTAATACAGTAAACCCTCTATTAACAAACACTCTCTATAGTGCACACATTATTAGAAACAAGATTACATAATCTTGTTAGAAGCAGAGGCTTCTAAATTAACTAACATCCAAGTGTATAGAATCTATCCAGTAACACAAAACAGCTGTAGCTTATCTGGTTTGTACTACAGTGTGTGGGTATATAAAAGGCACTGTCTTCTAACTACCAGAATTGGCAGTTACCTTAAGGTTACTTTTAAATGCGGGTACTATTAATTGCTAATTTTTTGTTTGGGTTAAAAATCGCAATTATTAATAATGACATATCATATCCAAAGAAAGGAGAGAGAGAGATATGATAAAAGATAGACCACACCCATTCCATCCTAGCAGCTGTAATGACTTACTGGTACAAAAACCAGCATCAGCTGGAACAACACACAAACAAACATAATTAATGAAATAATATTATCATTTTACCTATTATACTGTATTAAAATAATAATATACACACATTAACTGACTGACTGTGTTTATTATTAGGAGGAGAGACAGGAAAGGTGGAGTGGGGCAGTGATAAAGTAACCCTGACTAAACCATCAGCAGGTCAATGTCAGGAAGTGATCAGTCAATTAACGGACAGTCATCGGAACATTTACCTCGATCACTCATCACCTGATATTGTATACCTATTGATGTCACTAGCACTAGACATAAGAACAATAAAGAAAATTCATATAAATTATACTAAAATAACAAAAGATGTCATCCTCTCACTGTCACACAAAATAACAAACAATATTTCATTAGAGGCACTATGGATCAGTCCTGATTCCATCAATGATGATGGAGTCATTGCACTAACACAATCATTAATTAATAATAAAACAATTACTAGCTTATTTCTTCCTGACAATCCTGACATCACTTCAATCAGTGCTCAGTCACTAGCTAAACTTTTACTCAACAACCACACAATATCTATCCTTTGGCTCAACGGTACTAACATTGATACTGATGGAGTACTGGTACTGATGGAAACTCTCAGGACCAATAATACACTAAGGACTCTAGCTCTAGACAATAAACATAAACAAACTTGTTATTTGTTACCTTATTATAAAGCTATTGAAAACAGATTAGACTTTTGGTAATTGTTTCATATATATATATATATATATATATGAGTTTTTAATAAATAATTTATATTATTAAACGGAGAAAATAATTTTAAAATGTATGTACGTACGTACTGCCAGATTGACCACACCCCTCATGCCATGAACACATGTACATTATTCACATGAGGGAAAAAGAGAGAGAGAGGGAGTGACAAACAGGGAAACAATATAGCTTATAGATCTAGCTTTTATTATTTATTATTATTTTTTTTATAATTAAATTTTTATTATTATTTATTATTATTTTATTATTATTTTCTTATAATTAAATTTATTATTTTTATTATTTATTATCATTTATTATTAGTATTTTTTTACCTGGGGCCCCAGGTTTTTATAATTTTTGGGCAGCAATGTAGTGCCGCCTCCACGTGGCGCTGCCTGGGATCACTAGTGGCTACTACAGCTAGTGATACTAAGAGCACTACATACTATAAAAAGAATATAACAATACTAAAGGTAAGTATGCATCAGGATTTTAATAATATCATTGATATAGGATCAAGCTGAAATAAAGACGAAATGTCAAGTGGAATGATACTCAAGACTGAAACAAGAGATTCATATACTAGTTTTAATCTTTTCAAAAAACAATTCTTTTAAATTTTAATTGCATGTATTTATATGGCGATTTGAACTGTCATTGCTAAATGAGCCACCAACACATGCACACCACATTATAATGAGTGTACAGAATATTATGTTGTGTAGAAATTGAAATTAAAATTGTAATTTGTAAGGTTCCAAATTTATGCCGAGATGTGCATGTATCTGTATGAGTTCAGTAAAAGTTACAATGTTTGTCATTAAAAATAAAAATAATTATGAAGACTTCACCGACTGCAATCTATAGGAAAGGAGGAAGTCACTCCAGTCTCCTAGTAGTGGTAGGGGCCAGACTTTACAGCCTCCTAGTTTTTATACACGACATGCATGCATTGTTTTCACTACTTTTATGCAGTAGCTACATGCACATTTGAATCATTTGCAGGCAGCCACCCGGCCACGAGTTCTCACATTTCAAAATGGCTGCTCGGGCAAAGTTGAGTGCTTTGTTTAAAGAAGCGAAAGAGAAGCTATCGACTCCTCCAGACCCACCACAAAGAAAGAAAGAACACCCAAAGACTTTAAAGAGGAATAGAGTGGGACAGATCCCGAGATAAAGAGAGCGGGAAAAGCTACAAAGCCTCGGAGACTGGAGAGCTCCGCACTAGGACTATAAGTACAACCAGAAATAGAAATAGAAATAATAAGAATGATCCTCGAAACCCTTGTACAGTATTTATTGGTAACGTTCCTCTATCGACTAAAAAGAAGGACATACTCAAGCTGGTCTCCCCATTTGGTTCAGTCGAGTCGCTACGGCAATGATCAGTTGCAGTTTCTCCCGGTAAACTTCCTGTTGAAGTTGCTAGGGAACTTGGAAAACAGCTGACAGGGACGACAACTAGTTTCTATGTTGTTATGGAGACGGAGGAGTCTGCTAGTGCTTGTTTGGAGTTGAACGGACGAGAGGTTGATGGGAGACATATTAGGGTTGATCTGGCCACACCCACTAATGACACTCACTGTTCTATGTTTGTAGGTAATGTACCTTTGGGGGTCGATGAAGAGAAACTGAGAAAAGTAAGTACATGTACTATTTACGCAATGTTCATGTACATAAAATTTATTAAAATGAAGGATTCTCTCCTAGACACATTTTTGGTGGAAGACCCTGTACAGGGGCTATTTCCCAATGTTGGAGCAACTTTGAAAATTTGTAAAAAATCCAAACTTGATCAGAATCAGCTCAAACTTTCTACATAACGTAAGTACATGTATATGCATCAGAAAATGTAATAAAAATGGAGAATTTTCTTCTAGTCATTTTTCATGAAATACACTGATGTAGTATAAGACTTGGTCAAATTTGTTGATCACTAATTCATAAAAAATCTCTGTTTTGATCAGAATAAAATGGTTTTAAATCATTATTCTCTTTTCTCCTCATTTTATCATGCTCCTCCCTCCTCTTCCCTCCTTCAGGTCCTGTGGTCCTATTGATGGCATTCGTATCATTAAAGACACTAGGACTGGCATCAACAAAGGGTTTGCTTATGTTAAATTGAAGGACAGCAGCTCTGTCTTATTCGCTTGCAAGAAAAACGAAAGAATTGAACTAGAGGGACGGAAACTAAGAGTCTTTTGCTGTTTCAGCGATAAATCAAAGTTCCAGACTAAATTTGGAGGAGCCAAGTCTTGTCTAATAATCTTGCAAGAACAGGCATTGTTAATCATGCATGATCATTTTAAGGTTTCATTTAAGTAATATCTTACGTAAGATTTTGATTTTTCCTGGGAATTATTATTTTATGATTATTTTTTAATTATTTATTATTTTTAAAAAATTATTATTTTTTAATGATTTTTTGTAGTACATTATTACATCACTCAGTGACAGTTTCTTTATTTTTTTGATTTCTTCATGTAGTGAGCATGATTGCAGGCAACTGGTGAAGGACTTAAGGAAACAACTGGTTGAAGTGAAAAGAGAAAAAGAACAAATCACAGTATGAATACTACCTTTTATTATCTTAATGACATACATGTACATGTAATTACAATTAATGTACTATATGTACAATGTATCTAAAATTCTGAAAAATACCCAAGGCTATATATAGCCCATGGTTTCAAAAAATGGCTCTCAAATCACCCCAAATTTTTATTACATTTTCTGATACATATTGATATCCTTATGCTGTGTAGAAAGTTTGAGCTGATTCCGACTTCAATTTTTCAAGTTATGGCCAATTTAATAAAATCCCAAAATTTTAAAAAATACCCAAGGCTATAGCCCATGGTTTTTTCTGAAAAATGGTTCCGAAATCACCTCAAATTTTTATTACATTTTCTGATACATATTGATGTCCTTATGCCGTGTAGAAAGTTTGAAGTGATTCCAACTTCAATTTTTCAAGTTACAGCCAATTTAATAAAATCCCAAAATTTTTAAAAATACCCAAAGCTATAGCCCATGGTTTTTTCCAAAAAATGGCTCTGAAATCACCCCAAATTTCTATGACATTTTCTGATACATATTGATGTCCTTAAGCTGTGTAAAAAGTTTGAGGTGATTCCGACTTCAATTTTTCCAGTTATGGCCAATTGAATAATATCCCAGAATTCTGGAAAATACCCAAAGCTATAGCCCATGGTTTTTCAAAAAATGGCTCTGAAATCACCCCAAATTTTTATTACATTTTCTGATACATATTGATATCCTTATGCTGTGTAGAAAGTTTGAGCTGATTCCGACTTCAATTTTTCAAGTTATGGCCAATTTAATAAAATCCCAAAATTTTAAAAAATACCCAAGGCTATAGCCCATGTTTTTTTCTGAAAAATGGTTCCGAAATCACCTCAAATTTTTATTACATTTTCTGATACATATTGATGTCCTTATGCCGTGTAGAAAGTTTGAAGTGATTCCAACTTCAATTTTTCAAGTTACAGCCAATTTAATAAAATCCCAAAATTTTAAAAAATACCCAAAGCTATAGCCCATGGTTTTTTCCGAAAAATGGCTCTGAAATCACCCCAAATTTCTATGACATTTTCTGATACATATTGATGTCCTTAAGCTGTGTAGAAAGTTTAAGCTGATTCCGACTTCAATTTTTCAAGTTATGGCCAATTTAATAAAATCCCAAAATTTTAAAAAATACCCAAGGCTATAATACTATAACCCATGGTTTTTCTAAAAAATGGCTCCAAAATTGCCCCAATTTTTATTACATTTCTAATATGACATACATGTACATGTATGTTTTAAACCACATAACTACATGTAGATTGATTCCTCTAATAAATTGCATTGTCATCTTATTTTTGGTAG